GATCGGATCGGTTCGGTCGGTTTTGGCGGATCGGTATATCCGCTGCTCACCCCTAAATTCTACTATTTCAATTCTACTATTAATTTGAAATTGTTTTTGAAAGCATATATTAATTTGCATTTTTTCCAAACAAAATTGGGAAAATTAATAAATAAATAAAGAAATCTTTTTAGTTTTATCAATCAAATTTTTAATTTCTTAATTTATTTTTAATCTAAATGATTTGAATGTTTTCATCAAGTAAAATCAAAAGAAAAAGAAAATTTTATTCATTAAACTCAATATAAGTATATAAAAACTGCCGAAAGCCCAAGTGCAACAACCACTAATCACATACAATCCCATAATAATGGGGGAGAATTAAATATCACCACAAAATGTATCAAATTTCTATTCATAAGAGTTAAATCCGAAACCTATCATAAAAAGTGCTATGCAACCACTAGGTTGAATGCCCAATCCTTTTTTCATTCAGTTTAATGACTATTTTTAATAAAAATAAGTAAATGATTTAAATTCAAAACAAATAAAAAGTTTAAGATTTAAATTGACAAAATTATAAATTTTAGTTTTAAATAAATTATAACTAGCAATACTTTAAAATATAACTAGCATATCACCTATGTTATATACGGGATAAAATTATATATTATTTTAAAAAAAATGATAATCATATTTAATTTTTTTATATTTTGTAAAATAAAAGTTAAATGGAAGTTAGTCAATCGGGATTTTCTTAATTGTTTAAAATTAAGAAAATTAAAAAAATTAGTATGAAATATTAATCATAAGGTTTCTCACTAAAACCCTTTTCGTGCTTATATAAATGGAAGTATAAGATTCATTTTATATAAGTGAAACAATTCACTCTTTTCCTTTTTTTCTCGATGTGAGATTATAAAATAAAAGTTAACAATTGTTTGTGTGAGAAGTTTATTTCGAATTAAGCGATCTTAGCCATTTAATCTTTAATTACGTCAATCTTTAATTTATTTCGAATAAAACAAATTTAACCACTATATTTTACTAAAACTGATAAAATTACAGTTAAACCAGCGAATCAGTCAAACCAAAAATTGTTCACCCTATCGGCTAGGTCAAAGGACAATCCAACTTATACAAAAATTAATTAATTAAAACTTTTAAATTTTATTTTAATTTTAAAATTTAAACTGTCTTGAACTGAAATTTTAATTAAAATTTTAATTTTAATTAAATAAATAAAATTAAAACCAACTTCTATTCTATGATTTTTAATTAAAACCAATTACTATTCTATAATTTTTATTACAGAAACAGAACTTGGATTCAAGTAGATTTGTATACTTTATTTATTTTAATATTATCATAAGAACATCAAACACATGGGCAATTTTAATAGACAATCTTGTCAAACATCATGCACAGGTGTTTTGGCAGCTTTTATTTGCATACTACACTTTGTTTTACTTTACGATATTTTTGTCGTTCGAATATCAATTTTTGAACAAAAATACTTATTAGAATATTAATTTCTGAATAAAAATTAATTATTTGGATATCAATGATAGAGCATGATTTCGTTCGGAAGTTGAAATTAGAGCACTAAAATTGTGTGAATTGAGAATTTTTGTTGAGATATTGAAACTCTTATAAAACTGTTCACTAAATGGGGATGGGAGTATAAGATTTCCTTTATCTGAGTAAAACAACTTATTGTTTTTCCTTCTTTTCCCGATGTGAGATTATCATATAAAAGTTAACCAATGAATATTTTCTTAATTATTTAAATTTATTTTTTAATCAAAAAATTAAGAAATTAGGATTGAAATAATGGAACTCCCACAAGGTTTCACTACAAGAAAATACACAATTGGCGACCACTTTTGCCGACTAAAAATATTTTGGTTGCCAAAAGTAGTGGAATTGGCGACCAAAAATTATGTTAGTCGGTAAAAGTACAATATTTAGCTACTAAATTTTTTTAGTCGGGGTATATTAATTTTTGGCGACTAAAAAAAAAATTAGTTGCTAAAAATCTCACAATTGGCGACTAAAAAAAATTTAGTCGCTAAATTTGTCACAATTGGCGACTAAAAAAATATTTTGGTCGCGGTATATATAGTTTTGGCAACTAAAATATTTTAGTCGCTAAAAGAAAAATAAAAAACTATTTTTTATCTTTCGCGACCAAAAGTTTGGTCGGCAAAACCTTAATTTCAGCGACTAAAAAATATTTTAGTCGCTGTATAGATAGTTTTGGCAACTAAAATAATTTAGTCGCTAAAAGAAAAATAAAAAACTATTTTTTATCTTTCGCGACCAAAAGTTTGGTCGGCAAAACCTTAATTTCAGCGACTAAAAAATATTTTAGTCGCTGTATAGATAGTTTTGGCAACTAAAATAATTTAGTCGCTAAAAGAAAAATAAAAAACTATTTTTTATCTTTCGCGACCAAAAGTTTGGTCGGCAAAACCTTAATTTCAGCGACTAAAAAATATTTTAGTCGCTGTATAGATAGTTTTGGCAACTAAAATAATTTAGTCGCTAAAAGAAAAATAAAAAACTATTTTTTATCTTTCGCGACCAAAAGTTTGGTCGGCAAAACCTTAATTTCAGCGACTAAAAAATATTTTAGTCGCTGTATAGATAGTTTTGGCAACTAAAATAATTTAGTCGCTAAAAGAAAAATAAAAAACTATTTTTTATCTTTCGCGACCAAAAGTTTGGTCGGCAAAACCTTAATTTCAGCGACTAAAAAATATTTTAGTCGCTGTATAGATAGTTTTGGCAACTAAAATAATTTAGTCGCTAAAAGAAAAATAAAAAACTATTTTTTATCTTTCGCGACCAAAAGTTTGGTCGGCAAAACCTTAATTTCAGCGACTAAAAAATATTTTAGTCGCTGTATAGATAGTTTTGGCAACTAAAATAATTTAGTCGCTAAAAGAAAAATAAAAAACTATTTTTTATCTTTCGCGACCAAAAGTTTGGTCGGCAAAACCTTAATTTCAGCGACTAAAAAATATTTTAGTCGCTGTATAGATAGTTTTGGCAACTAAAATAATTTAGTCGCTAAAAGAAAAATAAAAAACTATTTTTTATCTTTCGCGACCAAAAGTTTGGTCGGCAAAACCTTAATTTCAGCGACTAAAAAATATTTTAGTCGCTGTATAGATAGTTTTGGCAACTAAAATAATTTAGTCGCTAAAAGAAAAATAAAAAACTATTTTTTATCTTTCGCGACCAAAAGTTTGGTCGGCAAAACCTTAATTTCAGCGACTAAAAAATATTTTAGTCGCTGTATAGATAGTTTTGGCAACTAAAATAATTTAGTCGCTAAAAGAAAAATAAAAAACTATTTTTTATCTTTCGCGACCAAAAGTTTGGTCGGCAAAACTCATCTCTCTCTTATTTCTATCTCTCTCTCTCGTTCATCTCTCTTCTCTCTATGTCTCTCTCACTCATCTCTCTTATCTCTATCTCTCTCTCTGTCTATCTCGTTCATCTCTCCTCTCTCTCTGTCTCTTTTTATGACTCTCACTCTCTATCCCTTTCTCTCTTTGTCTCTCTCTCTTTGTCTCTCTTCTTTTTCTCTCTCTCACTCATCACTCTTCTCTCTCTCTTTCTCTCTCTATTATTTATTATTATAATTTTACTTTTTATTTATTATCATTTTGGAGGGATTTTTAAATTAATTTGGCGAGGAACTCTAGAGGGATTTCAAACACACTAAAATGAGTTAGGGCTTAAACACGTCTCTCTCTCTGCCATCGATTCTCTCGCGCCTCTGTCTCTCTCATTCCATCACTCTCTCTTTCTCTTCACCCATTTTGTCATCTTCCTCTCTCTCTTCTATTTCTCTCTCTTACTCATCACTCTTCTCTGTCTGTCTGTCTGTCTCTCCCTGTGTCTCTCACTTATCTATGTCTTTTCTCATATATTTTCTCTCTCTGTCTGTTTTGTTCATCTCTCTTCTCTCTATCTCTCTTGTTCATCTCTCTCCTCTCGCTCTCTCTTATCTCTCTTTCTCTCTATGTCTTTCTCGCTCATCTAATTTTTTATCTATCTCTCTCTCTCTGTCTCTCTCGTTCATCTCTCTTCTTTCTATGTCTCTCTCGTTCATCTCTCTTCTCTCTATCTCTCTATCTGTCTCTCTCGTTTATCTCTCATCTCTCTATGTCTCTCTCGCTCATCTCTCTTCTGTCTATCTCTCTCTCTGTCTCTCTCATTCATCTCTCCTCTCTCTTTGTCTCTTTTTCTGTCTCTCACTCTCTATCTCTTTCTCTCTTTGTCTCTATATCTCTCTCTCACTCTCTACTACTACTATTACCTCTCATCTACCACCGCCACTCTATCTCCTTTACCACAACTTTACCACTAATCTCCTTCGCCATCACCACCACCACCACCAGCACCTCATATCCACCACCTTCACCACTACTGTCGCTTTCTCTTCTCTACCACAAAAAATTAATTCTTGATTTTTAGTATAAAAAAAAAATCGGCCACAAAAAAATATTTTTAATTGACCATAAAAAATAATTTTATTTTAACGAAAAATATTTTTCATTGAAATATTACCCCTACTTCTACCAAATAAAAAAAATTCATTAAAAAAAATGAAAAAAAAATTTCCCCTTTTTTTTCACTGACCCGCCTGCCCAAACTTATTTCCCTCCTTTTTACCGTCTTTCCCCCCCTTTTTTCATTTCCTTTCAAGTTTGCAGAGCCCCTGTTTCGAAACAACACGTCTCTCTCTCTCTCTCTCACGGAGGCGAGCGACGAGCGGCGAATTTTGGTTCGAGTTATGAGCTCCGAAGCTGCTTCTTCAAAGCTTCTTCACCAATTGCTGGGACCAGAAAATGTGCAGCGTTGGTGTCTGGGTTGTCCTCTGTTACTTCACCAACGATTTCATCGTTCAACGAGGTTCCAATCAGCTCAATCTCTGTTTTTCTTTGTTAAAAAATGGTTTTGATTTTTCGGTTTTTGTTTTTTTTGTGCGATTCTGATTTCTATCTATATGGGTTTTCTATGTGGGTTTTGACTGTTACTTTGTTGGGTATGGTTGGGTTTGGCTGATCATCACTGGCCGAGCTCCTGCTTTGCCTTTGTGGGCTGTGAGTATCATCATCCATTCGATTCGGTTCTATCTTTGCATCTATCTTCTTTCTTTTTTGATGACTTTTTTTTTCGTTCTTCTTTTCACTTTTCACTTCACTTTTCCTATTTGTCTTCTTTCAGATCATGTTAGCTAGAATAGCGATTTGGGTTGTTGCTAGTCTTGCAAGATTCAATATTGTTATTTATTTTTTTATCTGAATCTTCAAAGCACGTTTTGTGATTACTGTGTGGAATATTCATGTTCATGATTCCTAGTTATCCCAACTATTTGGAATTGATCATGGTCTAGTGATCTGTTCTGAATTGAATCAGATTCTGTAATTGATCTTAATTTTTGAATCTATGCATCTGTTGCACAAGTTGCTGTATTTATTGATTCAGATTCAGATTCCTAGTTATCCCAAAATTGTAATATTGTAGAGAGTTTCACAAATGATTCAACATTAGGGTGAAAAGGGTTTAACAATTTATTGGTAAACTTTTTTCTGTATTTTCTGAGGTGAGCTAGCTTACCATATCATGAACCTATTGGTTGTTCTGTTGGCTTGTCTATTCATCATGATCTGAACTTGCCGATTGCAAGACTAAGTGAGTTTAATTTGCAGGACCACATGATTCTGCTATATCAATGTGTTCCACATGTATATGTGTCTTTTCTACCTAAGCTTCTCAAAATGTTTGTGGAGTCAGAACTTATCATTGGTATTAGTATCGTTGGTAATATTTACAAGTGATGTCTGTTCGTTTTGCCCCAAATATTTGAATATTACAATTCAAACAATCCTTTGTAAGTCCATTTCACTTATTAATCCTTTATTGTTGTTTTGGGGTTATTCCCCATCACTTTCTTCAATTGTGTTAGGGAAACATTTTCCTTTAAATCGAGCCTGCATGGTTTTATAGGAAAGATGACAGCAGAATATGAATGCTCATGAGCATCCTATTGGCATCCTAGATGAAGAAGGAACTATTAATCTTCCATAATTGGTGATTTTGCATTCAAGTCATGCTTATAGTGAGGGAATCATATTGACTCAGACTTATTTGTGATGTTTCTCTAGTATGCATCTTGTGGTAATCAGAAATTGGAAAATTTTAGTTGATAACCTAGAAGAAAATGAAGAAAGTCACATGGTCTCGACGTTTATTTAATGGTGCTGAAAAAATTTATTATCAAAATAGTAAAAAATGATCCGGAAGAAATTATAGCACTGACTTGAATTTTAATTGCAGTTTCCTAACAGGGTGGAGCATGCAATTCACAATACAATCTCCTGTACTTGTATATCCTTCATGTTCCATATATGTGATTTTAAAATGGATATATAATCTAACACTTCCAAATGCATATTGGATCAAGTTGTTCACCAAAATATTTTCCTACTAGGCTACTGCCTTGTATAATAATTACTTGAGCTTTTTGTAGTGTGGCACATTCTTTTATAATGATAGTCAGCCATAGAAATTATTAATACTGATTAAGGATATGATAAACATAATGTCTGGGAAAACAAACTTGATCTTTGTTCTTTTTCCATTCTCTCTCTGTTTCAAAAGTTGAATTTTGATATCAGATGTCATAACAGTTGCAAGTTTTTATTTTTATATATTTTTTAGTGAGTATAGCAGTTGCAACTTAAACCTTCTGTTTCTTGGTTTTGTCAATTTTCTATACAAAAATCTAGTATGAAGAGTCAGCTTTGGTTGTAACTTCTTAGCCCATATGTTATAGAGAAGTAATGCACAATATTTGTAGTTACACCCTCAAAGCATTTATTATTGATGCACAAGTAGTTCATTCATTTTTTATTATTGATGCATGTCTCTTAGTGCCTAGAAACACATGCATTTATACCATAATTGGTTCTGTTGTTCGGTTGGATGAATGGCATCTATTACAAGGATGAGATAGTTATAGGGGTTTTTAATCCAAGAGCTAAGCAAACTTTCGTTCACCATCTTGCTTTACTGAGATTGTTAACTAATGTCGTTATGCAGATGTGCATTCTTATATTTATGGGGACAAATGGTGAGACCTACTTCAATACTGCAGCTCTGGTCTCCTGTGTGCAAAACTTTCCAAAAAGCCGTGGTCCCGTGGTGGGAATACTAAAGGGATTTGCCGGGTTAAGTGGTGCAATTCTGACTCAAATATATGCATTGATTCGTACCCCTGATCACGCGTCACTCATCTTCATGGTTGCAGTTGGGCCAGCAATGGTGATTATTGCCCTTATGTTCATTGTCAGACCTGTTGGAGGTCACAAACAAGTCAGACCATCTGATGAGATGAGTTTCTCATTTATCTATAGCGTCTGCCTCCTTTTGGCTGCTTATTTGATGGCGGTCATGCTTGTTCAAGATCTAGTTGATTTGAATGAAAATGTGATCATAATTTTCACGGTGATTTTATTTATTCTTCTATTAATCCCCATTATAATTCCTGTCTGGTTGAGTTTTTTCTCAGAGACGAGAGATCCGGCAGAAACAGCTCTTCTGCATGAGCCACAGAAACAAGGACCAAGCCAATCCGAACATGATGTGAATGAGGTTATATTTAGTGAGATGGAAGATGAGAAACCTAAGGAATTAGACTTGTTAGAATAGTTGTATTGTGTCGAATGTTAATGAATTATGTATTGTGTTGAATGTTAATGATTCAGTTGATTTGAATGATGCTTTAAAATTATAGGTTTATTATGGATTGAATGAATTATTAGGAATTACAGGTGTATTGTTTTTCTGCTTTTGGCGACCAATTTATTAGTCGCGACAAATAAATAATTTTTTTTTCGCAAAAAATGACAATTGCCCAAAAAATACATCTATTGCCGACCAAAACAGCTCTTGGTCGTGGAATCTCACTTTTGCCGACCAAAAGTTTTGGTCGCAAAAAGTAAGAAATGGCGACCAAAATTTTTGATCGTAGAAACTATTATTTAGCGACGAAGAAGTTTTGGTCGTTGAATATAATTTTTGCCGACCAATTTTGTTGGTTGCTGAAAGTAATTTTTGCCGACCAAATTAGCGACTAACATGTATGGTCGTTGAATGTAATTTTTGCCGACCAAAGTCTTTTCGCGACTAAATAGGTTAGTCGCGATAATTATATGTTTAGCGACCAACAATTTAGTCACCAAATAGAACGTTTTACCGACTAAAAATCTTTTTAGTCGCTAATTACTTTCCGCGACCCTCAATTGCCGACCAACTTGGCGACCAAAAAAATTGGTTGGGAATATGTTTTGTTGACCAAAAATGGACTTTTAGCGACTAATTTTTTGGTCGACAAATGTGTTAATTCTTGTAGTGTTTGTGGGTTAAAAAGGCTCTTTTCATAATATTAATTTCTGAATAAAAATTCATTATTTGGCTATGTTGAAATCCGAACACTAAAATTGTCTGAATTGAGAATTTTTGTTGAGATAAACTCTCACAAGACTCTTTAATAAATTAGGGATGAAAGTATAAAATTCTCTTTATATAAGTAAAACAATTCATTTTTTTCCTTCTTTTTTCGATATGGGATTATCAAATAAAAATTAACCAATGGAGATTTTCTTAATTATTTAAATTCATTTTTTTATCAGAAAATTAAGAAATTAGGATTGAAATAATAGAGCTCTCACAAGGTTTGTGGGTTAAAAAGACCCTTTTTCAGAATATTAATTTCTAAATAAAAATTCATTATTTGGATATCAATGATAGAGCATGGTTTCGTTCGGAAGTTGAAATCCGAGCACTAAAATTGTGTGAATTGAGAATTTTTGTTGTGATATTGAAACTCTCACAAGTCTCTTTACTAAATAGGGATGGGAGAATAAGATTCTTTTTTATATGAGTAAAAGAATTCTTTTTTTTTTCTTCTTCTTTTTCCCGATATGGGAATATCCAATAAACGTAAACAAATGGAGATTTTCTTAATTATTTAAATTTATTTTTTAATAAAAAAATAAAAAATTAGAATTTAAATAATGGAGCTCCCACAAGATTTATGGGTTAAAAAGGCTCTTTTCCTTATATAATAGGTCAAATACAATAACAAATCCTAACCAATTTTATTTTAATAATTTGCCTGCTCCACCACCATAATACCCTTCCTTTAACCACCGTAAATCCAATCGAATTCTTTTCATATCTTCTTGTTGATTTCATTTCCCTTTGTTTTATTGACATATGCATATTGTTCAACAATTCGTAATTGTGGGATTTGGGTCTATGTTGCTTCTAATTGTTGGATTTGGAACGTATTTGGTTGTGTTTTCAGCTTTTGTAATCTGCTCAATTTAGATTTTTTTTTTTTTTTTGAAAAATACAGAAAATTTGTTTTGGCTATTAACGAAAACTAATTTCAGGAAAATCTCCCCAAAATTATCCAATTTTAGGAACAACAAAAAAGTTATTTTAAAATTTCAGAAACTAGGCTTAGAAATGAAAACTGGTGCTTTCAAATTCATTATTTTTTGTTTTCGAAAATGCAAAAAACAAAAGCACAATAAAATTTCATAATTTTTTAGTCTTTTGTTCTTGGGGTTGAAAAGGATCATTATATTACTTTGTTTTTGAATTTCTTTTTCCTGTAGCAATGTTACATAAGTATTTACTGGCAGTATACCCCAAGTTTGTTTTTGAATTTCTTTGTTTTTGTTGGCAACCAATGTTTTAGATCTGTATTTGCTTTTGTGGATGTTAAAATGACAACTAAATCCCTCCTGCCTTTGTGCGACCATTGATAGGGAAATGAGCAAGAGTGAGTGTCGGTGTGAGGAATGAGTTTTCTAGATGGAATTTGAATTCTTGGCCACAATTACAAAGTGTGGCTGTCACACTCACACACCTCTGTGGTTGTAGCTTTCAGAAACTACATGCTACAAGAATGGAGGATCAGATCAGATCATCCTATTTTCATCTGTTGCTATAAATTTCTGAGTTGTAGCTATTAGATTATTGTAGTTGTTAGATTCTTCTTCCAACATAGTTTCTTAAGCTATGCTAGAATTGTAAAACTAAACTGATATATTCTGATAAAGCATTTAAGCAAGATTCATAGATGTTGAAGATAGTGACCGAGTGGTTTGGAACCTTGTCTGGGTATCAAGGCCCAAGGCTAGATTCATAGATGTTAAGGGGTTTCAAAAAAAATTTTATCACAGTGTTTTATTTTTCAGATTATATTTTTAAATTTTGGGTTAATTTTTTTATCTATATTATATATTAAAAAAAAAATTACTTATTTGCAAACTATATATGCTAGACATAGATGTTTCCTAAAAAATGAGTTGTTTTTATTGTTTTTCCCAAAGCAGTTCTCCAAACAATTTTTACTTGTGTTTTTAAAAAAGGAAATTAGAAAACAAAAATTGAAAACACAACCAAACACGACAACCATGAAACTTGAGTCCCTAACCTCAATGTTAAGAAAACAAACACATACCATTAGCTTATGTAATTCCTGTGGCCATTGACACATTGAACAACCCACCTTAACGTAGCTAACAGGTCATAATGTTTTTGACTCCAAGGTTGTTGCAACAGACCTGTGGCAATATCTTTAGGTGACTAAGCAAGTTGAGAGACACCAATTGGATCCTATGGGTTTAGACTTATTTTTTGTGATTTGTTTGAACATATGGAATAACCAAAATTTATGGATTTGCAAATCCAAGTGAGCTTGCAAAATTTGTTTGCGATTATCTGTCTGAATTTGTTAATTCTCAGCAAAGATTTGATGTTTAAAGTTAATTTTGATGAAACTATTTTCAAAATGCAAAAAAGCAGTAGGTGTAGGTGTTATTGTTAGGGATCACAAGGGGAAGTTATTGCTACCTTGTCTAAGAAATTATTGAATCTTGTGGATGTTGACTGTGTGCAGTCTTTGACAGCATCCAAGTGGTAAGCTTTGCACGAATTTGAGTTTCAATGAAATTCAACTCGAATTAGATTCTTTGTCCTTTGTCAAAGGCATCCAATCTGAGAATGATTGCTATTAGCTTGTGGCCGTATAACATAGGAGGACAGAATTTCAAATGCTGCCAAAGGACTTCTGTTTTGCATACTTTGCAGCAACGGAATATGGGATATCTAGGGATTTAGAGAAACAATTACTTTGTTGTCTAATTCAATTTGATTTCAATTTTTCCCTATTTTAAGTATTTGTAGGAAAATCTCTGGTGTGCTTCAATGGCTATCAAGTCAAGAAAAACTATGAATTTTATTTTCTTAGCTTTCTCACTCATTTCTATCTCATTTGTTTTTATTTAAAATAGGAAGTATTTTTAACTAGCCCCATGTGTTTATTTGTTTCCAGGGAGCCAAAACGGAAACAAGTTGATATTAACTAATGAAGCAATTGGTATACCTTAATCTCGCTACGTGAAGCAGTTGGTATATCTCCTATACATTGATATATCTATATACACACACATATGTACACAATAACATATGCAGATGAGGTTAAGGGTGAGCCTACTGAAAATCCATGAGGAGATGACGGTGAGCCTACTAAAAATCCAGATATGTTATATTTGTTACGTAGATTGCTGGTAGAGGTTGTGGGTTAACCTATTGAAAACCCAAATACATTGTTTTATTTATTGTAGCATTATTGACTTGAGCAATGTATTATGATTATTGGTTTCGTTGGAATTAACTCCCGAAGACCGCATGTTCTTCAAACTCACATGATATTAGATTATACTTAGGCTTAAAGGTCAATGTTGCTGGAATTGTTATTGGAAATCTAGTAGCTTCTGTCGCTATGGTAGCTAGGGGAAGAGCTGAGTAGAGATATCTAGATCCAAGACAAAAGAATATATATTTGAGTTCAGGGAAATTTTTAACCACCATATTTGAGTTTAGGATAAAGTTTTATGTGAACCTAAGGATGAAGATGGCGGACACACAATGCCAAATCGTATTGTAATGAGAAATGAACACCCATTTACAATATATTTCACGGCACGTTTCACTATTTCTTTAGATGCTACCTCATGGCTGGGAGCTTGCTTTGTGATGTTGCAATGGCAATGGAGAATGCTACTAGTTATTGAATTTTTTTTTTTTTTTTTTTTTTTTTTTTTTTTTTTTTTTTTTTTTTTGGAATTATGGGAAAATAGTGTATCTTTAATTATCATGTACCATGTACTTTTAAATATTTATAGTTTACTATATTTGTGGATAATATTAATATTTTTTTGCCTTTTTAAAATTGTTTTTATATTTGGTTGTGAATGTGTAGATGTCAAATATGTCATTTGTACAAGTATTGTTTATATATTTCTTTGTAATTTTTATTATTTTTTATTTTTTTTATAAAAAATGTGATTTTTTGCGACGGCAGTAGTTGTCACTAGGGTTGTGAAAAATACTACCTAATCTGTTAAAATCACACCGATCTACATCAATCCGTACTACTCTAACTACTAACCGCAGTTTAAACTTTAAAATTTATAATTCACCTTCCAAACCGCTCCTCTCCGCTATAGTTAATACATATATATTTTTTAATCTCCAATGAAATATCAAAGTAAAAATAAGTGTGAGAGAGATTTAAAATATGAAATTTATTACATATTACTAGTTATATATATGTAACATATTATATAAAA